ATGGTGTCCACCATAGCCAGGTAAGTGCCCTACCACTCTCCTACCATGCCCCCTTCTTCCTCCTCCTCATGCTGGGGTGCTCGCCATAGCCAGGCTGAGCCCCAGCGGACCTTCACCTTCAAGCAGCGCTGCTTCAGTCCAGCGCTGCGCTCCAGCAGCATGTCGCCAATCCTTGCATACCGCAAAATGAGGAAGAGCTCACCGCTCTTCCTGAAGATATAGCGGCCTACCGGCCTCCTGGGCGGTGACTTCCTAGGCCAAGCGGCCTCCCAGCAACCGGTACCTCCTCCCTTTTGGAGGGAAACATCATTGCAGGCTCTGTTATTGTCCGCACAGGCCCTAGACCCGGGCTACTTGGACTGGTACCGGCCTACCTCTAACCTACCGCTACTAGGCCTCTAAAAATGCCAACTTTTTGTCTTCTTCTGCTCGGCCTCCCTGCTACTTGAGTGTTTTTCCCCATCTGCTCTAAGTGTCGTGGGCCTACTCCCCGCTACCGGCATGTTTACCCCCCTGCAACCCTTCAAAGTCACGGCCACAGGTAAGTACCGGCCCGGTGGGCCTTGCAACCAACAAGTACCCTGGCGGGTCACACACATACCCAACCAGCAAGCACTCAGACAGGCATGCAACCCAGCAGGCACGCACACACACACAACCGGCAAGCACTCAGACAGGCATGCAAACCAGCAGGCACGCACACACACAGACTTGGGACCACAGCAGAATGCGGGAATCACAACAAGGCATTCATTCCATTGACAAATCCCAGAAATCAGCAGTGTTCTCAGTCTGTGTTTTGGGCAGGTCATTACAAAAGTTCGAAAGGGAAACAGCAGGGGGAGGGAGTGCGAGGAATCAGGACCTCAGCAATGCCCGGGAAAGGCCCTGCCCGCCCTAAGTGAGGGCGGGCCTCTTGAAATGCAGCGGACCCTCAGAAAAAGGCCAATGTGAGAAAAATGGGGGCCCGGGTGGTTGCATGGTGTTCCGCATCTTTGCAGCATCCTCAACTAACCGGTAGGCCCAGTTAGTTGAAGATGCTGCGCATGGTGCAGCTTCCAGAAGGGGCCCAGGGTGCAGGGAACTGGGACTGGGTGCAGCCAGACCAGAGGCTACTCGGCCACTCCAGCCAGCACAAAAGGTCGGAGGGCGCAGTCTCCAACACATTTGGGCATTGTGCCAATGCGGCAGCGCTGCTGGGGCGGCAGATGAGCATTGTGTCCGAGGACAAAGCTGCACGCTGGCACTGAGGAAGAAGGGGGTGAGGCAACCATAGCCAAGCTGCGATCACCATAGCCGACTGGTGGTAGAGTAGCGGAGGTCCTTGGAGGAAGGAGGGCGTGGGAGAGAAGGAGGTGAGGGCAGTGTGACGAGTGGTGTCGACGAAGGCACGCTGTTCAATCAGAGTCTTCAAGCGGCATTGGGCTGATGACGTCCGGAACCTGTTGTAGCATGAATAGGCTAGCTTGATAGATTTGTCGGTAAAGGAGGTGGATAGACGCCAGTAGGATTACTACATTGTTGTTGCATTGATGATTGGAGGCGTTTGGGAGGGCTTTCGTTATCAGGAGACTTCAGTGCTTTGCTTGTTCCTATTTGGTGTGATCTCTGTGTGCATTCTGCTTTCGGTTTCGACTCAAGATATCCGGTCTTCCGTGACATGTTGCAACTTGGTGTATTGCTGTTCGCATTGCTTATTTCCTTGCAGAATCAATCCCTAACTTTTACTCTCTGCTCTTTATGTGCTGTCTGAACTGCACCAGTCGCGACTTCGCTCTTCCGCATATTGAGGTGCATGGGGTCAGTCCGGTTTGAAGTATAGGAACTAGGGTCAAGCGAAGAGACCTGATTTGTGTATGGCCGAAATCGCCTCTCGGATCCTAATTCCTACCCTCTACCTATTCACATGCGGGCGAACTGCACCATGTCCAATCCAGCTACCGTAGGCCTGTCTGTACGGGCTGACCCCTACAGGGGGTTTGGAACTTGGCCCATTGGGGTCAAATTTGTTCATAGGATACCCATGCCCTGCCTATGACAGAATTGGTCTTTTGGATCCTAACTACGACCTTCTATCTCTTGGCATGCAGTAGACGACCCTAGGTTCTGGAATGTTGCATTTAGTTCTGTTTTTTTTTTTTTTTTTTTTTTTTTTTTTTTTTTTTTTTCCCCGGGCACGCAGCACAAATCCGCCTCAGGAAAAGATGCTCGGACGCAGTGGTGGTTTAATAAAACAATCAATAATAAAGCCATACCATGGTAACCGCCCGGACCGTCCGGACCGCGTTCCAGACAGTCCGGTGTCCGGTGTCCGGTGTCTGGTGTCTGGTGTCCGGTTCCCATGTCTGGATGGAGGCGCCTGGGGCAAAAATCAAAAAAGAAAATGGGGCGGACCAGGACGTTTGTCGGGTCCTAGCCGTCCCTCGAAAAATAACGGGGTGATTTTTAAGTGTCCTTTCACCCCACCGGACATGGCCTAGAGGTCCACACACAAGACACTGCAGGTTTTTGAGGTGGCGGGTTTCGCACAGGCCCGAGCAATTTCAAAGCTGCCGTTTCGACGTGGCGCCCGTCGCTCCTGCCCGT